CTCCTCATTTCTGCAGCTATTCGGTTGGTCCTCCCATTTTTCCAAACTGACCGGACATTCCATATACCTACAACAATTGTTGGTCTGGTTATTGATGGTTTTGTAATGGGACGACATAATTACTGAAAAAAACATTTTCAAATAATCATTTTCAATTGTTCACCTAATAGCTGTCTGATATCACGTTGCTGAATTTGTCTAATATAGTAGAATATTAATAACGTGTAAAATCGGATTTTCAAATATGGTCTGAGAATGGATTTTATGATAGCGTTTAGAATTATCATTTTGAATCACTTGTAGATAGATCTCATCGTCGACTGATACCAGTTGTAGAAGTACTGGAACTTAAATGCCTTTTTCATATAAGGTTGCAATTATGAAGCAGTATAAAATCATAATGTCGAGAGTGATTGAAGTGAAAATTCTCTAGATATCGTCGAGCTAGAGTATCACAAACCATTCATGACAAATTTTGCAAATTCAGTCAGTTTGCTTTGTTACACTAACGATACCTAGTGTTATTATTGAAGAGTTTCTCACGGTCAACTTAATGGATGTTTGTGGCTAAGATCTATCATCAGTTAACTTTCATGATTTTGTGAAGCGATTGAAATCTATGGTTTAATGAACTCATTATATCACTTCACAATTAAAACATTGTCAGATTTTGACAAAACAAAGTGCAGAACGTAATTTTGTATAGATTCCATTCAAAACATTCTCTACACTGTCAAACACCGAGTCTTAACCCAACCGAAGTCAGAACAAGTAAGCTATTTATCTGTTTTTTAAGCGCGAATTCACAGTGCAAGTTTACAAAATATACAATTACTTATGTCTATTAAACAGTGAGAGTAGAGGCATAAATAACGTATCCAACATTAAATAAAGGATAGGAATAAGGAGTCAATTAATTGAATATTGTTGTTGTGATAAACACAAAATCAAGATTGTTGAATAAGCAAGACTTATTTATGTAAGGTCAAAGGGAGTTCTTGTTGTGGTGGTGGTGAGTGTATCATTTTATCATCGGTGGGTTTTCTTATCGACCAAACGTTACACAAATTATGGTGAAATTATTTATTACACAATAAAATGTTACAAATGTTAAGTACATTAGTCCATTAAAGTGAAGTAGAAACATTAAAAGAATGCACAGTTCCAATTTTTCATTATGAAATGTTCAATAATGATGATAATTCGTTATGCATAGTGAAAGCAATACGAAACTAACATGGGAGAAATGTATGAACAAGTAACAATAGAAATTTGTATTATGCATAACTACACAAATTTTCTCATTGTCATCAGTCAAATTCATATTTGTTTCTAATTAAAGATTCAAAATGGAAAACTGTTGGCGACGATAGATCCTCAAGCTCATATATTTAAATTTTATCTTATCGATGAACTGATCAATTAAATGTTTGAATAGCAGTCAGTTGATGAACCTATCGATTAGATGTGCAAATAGGTCAACTAATGAACTGTCGATTAAATGTTAAATAGCGGTCAATTAATGAACTAATAGATTAATGTTTAAAACTTTTCTATGACAATATCGATTGTAAATGTTTGTATAAATACGATTGATTTTTGTGTTTGACTTGACTTGCTATCTGATGTTTGTCTGTAGAATACACCTTCTACACCTTACCCAGACTTCTTGATCGAGTTAGCAGAGTTGAGGACAACGAACCAGAATAGCTATGGAGTCGCTGAATCATTGATCCTTCATCCCGTTGTGTAAGACGCATCAGTAATAGCATTCAGGCGAATAACGAACCATGACAAAAACTGAATACACCACACTCGTGATGTATGAGAGATTTTTCAAAAATAGCCATTCACAATCGTTAATACAGACTAACTTATTTCAAAGAAATAGTCGCTTAATGAATGAGAATACTTAATCAAGTTTAAAAGTAACGTATAATAATTGTTAATGAACAGCATGATAATCATGAAATCCGATTGTTGTGTAATGAAATGAAATACTCCATAGAACTAACATGAGAAAGATAAATACAAATAATTCAAGAGTTTTTATTGACCCATTACCAAAGTGAATGTTGACTTGAGAATTGTTTACTTCAGTTTTATTTACATTATTAGCATGGTATGTTTTTATGTTTATATTGGACTCAAACTTTATTTTTGATACAGTTCGATTGTTTGACATGAATTAGGTTGAACGGGAACACAAAAGTTGGTCACTTAGTAGTTGAATGTTGAGTTGTTCAGACCATAATAACATCCAAGTCTGTTTATTCGGCGCAGCGTTACTACAATTCTTTTGACAGCCCTATCAAACTCCTATTCAGAATGTTTCGAACTGTATCGGCCATTTATGTTGAACATCACGTGGCTGTTAGGTTAATTGTTTGAAATCTGTTATCTCAAACTCTCTTAAACAACTAATCATTCCGTATAAGTCGTTACCATGAAGGCGAAGCGAAAGAATCAAACAATGGCATTAATCTCCATTTACCTAGTTATGGTTACTTTAAATGTTCAACCTAGTTCATCCCTACTGCTTAGACTTGTGTGAAGTAATTCTCTTCATTTGACCACTTAATTATTGACAATATGGAGCCTACACCAAATCAAAAAACATCAAAAATGCAACTTTCTACATGTCACGAAATCCCTGAACAAGCACATTTTCCCGTTATTCGAATTGGCAGCTAATAACTAAAGCCAATTTCCGCTCATGTATTATAAACACTAAGGTCAATAAAAAATGAGAGGCCAAGAGAGTGAGAAATCTAGTGAATTTCAATGAATAACTGATCAGATATGTGACCCTTATAATGATAGAATTGTAGTGACTAACTTTTATCACGAGAACACGACTGGTTTAATAAAAACAATTATTATTATAACCAACTGCACCAGTGCTTGTTTCAATGTACTTTTGTTTAACTGTGCAATTTATATCCATTTTGTGCTTTCATTACCTTCCATCATTGTTCCGCGGTTTTTGGTACTGTTCGCACGCACTCCATTCTCCTGCTTTTGCTTGTACCATTTCCTGGCACGATCTTGGTATTCGTTCAATACCACGAGATCGCCAGCAAATATATCTCGACTTGGTCCATTAACTGCCTTCTGATATTTGGCTTACGGAGAATTTTATGAATATTTTGGCACGTGCTTTTTGGTAGCGGTGTTTATAGTCAACTGGGACTCGACACCACGCCACAGAATAATGGTCACTTCAGTTTAGACATCGAGAAGATCAATTGGAAGAATAAACTGAAAATAGTATGTTAAAGTTACAAAACTTCAGTAACCATTAAAGAGATTCTTAAGGCTGTGTGAACAGTACCAGATCTACATCGTTCTTACGTCTTGAATATACAAGTCAGGACAACTACTGTTCTCTGACTGCTCCTTCTTTATTTGAACACATAGATATCGGTACAAGAAGGCATCAAATACATATGCGCCACACAAATATCATTTGATGTGTGAGGGCTGTAATGCTGCCCGGGTGCTCAAACTGGAGCAAGTCATGTTCTTAGGGGCTGTTACTCGGAGTTGTCGACCTGGAGATCTGCTCCACAAGGCAGTGGAGCAACATAAGTAGATGAAGTCCCATGGTAGCAGGTGACCAACAATTGGTTTATACGTCATTTGTTCCTTCAAAATACTGGAAATCATGTGCATGATTGGTTTGGAATCATACTTTTCTAAATTGCCTAGGTGGACCCGGTTAAAGCGCCGGACATTTGCGATTCGTCCTCTTAATTTCGTAAACAACAACCCCGCCACGATAGGATAATAAAAAGCTTATCTAACAGAGGCAACATACGTATAGCTATGTGAGAGAAGTTCGAGAGGAAGCGCGGAATATCCCCACTCTTGGCTGTACCAGACCATCTAGAGGTATATATGTCAGACTGTATAGACTCTAAGAACAAGTGTACTTTGAGAATGTATAACCTACTTATCGAAAGGTTTTCAGATAATAAAACAGTTATGCTAGCTAAAAGAAATTTGTGGTCAAACTTATTTGTAGATACGTGGATGAAGTACATTTTCTGTAGAGATTACTCATATCTATGACTGTAGAATCAATTTTATTTAGGTTTTTATATTTAATGTAATGATCACTGCCGATAAGGTTTGAAATGTTTCTACAGTCGTTACTCATAATCCAAGCGATGTCTGTATTTCAAGTGTTCAAATGCGTTGACCAAGAAGATGAAGTTCATTCTGTAATTTTAGGTCTTTGTTTATTGATGACAACTCAAGAATGATGTTCTACACCGTATGAGATCGTCTATTTTGAATGAACCTTGCGGTCATCAGTGATTATGTATTTATCTGGTGTAGATAATTCGTTAGACGTATGAGTTTTGTATATTTTCAGGGGTTTGAATGATTACAGACGCAAAGTAGTTACTAGGTGAAATATATCTATTTCACCCACCAGACTACTGCTCTTAACCTGGATGTCCAAATCTGACTATCTGATCAAGTTTGCAGGATTGCGTGTTATCCTTTCACAGCAATTAACAATTTCAGCCACCAACTAATTAATCAAAGCATTGGATTGTTGAGTGAAGATGGTAAAGCCAACTCAACTTTTGTCCTTTCTATAGACTAAGCATTGAATGAAACAATTAACCGTATACTGCACATGCAAACAATCAAATCATGGAAGGAATCATAATCAGCCTACATTACACAAGTTAACAATGGTTTATCATCCACTATTTATTGAACGGTGAAAGATCGGCTAAGGATTGATAGAATCGCTTAATTATTTAGTGGTAGGGTTTTCTGACAGGAAGGCTCAACCCAATGACTGTCGATGATTCCAAGTGATATTATTCAGTTAGAAGACTTCAACAAAGTGGACATAAGCAATGAACTCAATAGTGATTTCAATTATCAAAAAATCACGTATACTCAATATTACTAAGTTACAAGTAAAATTTTGTAAAACACTCATAAAACAAATTAGTATTTATGGAGTGAAAACAATTGTGCAAATGTGAAAAACTGTGTTTAGTATCTTATCAACAATATTACATCAGTTATTACGTCAATCAGCTATGAATGATAGATGAATCCATAAAGAAATTGTCAAAATTACTGAAATGAAAAATTAAGTTTTAAGTTTTTTAATGAAATACGGAATAGAAACAATTTGGTCAGAATAATAAGAACAAGATATAATACGTTTCTGAAAATCATGAAATGATTTACTTCTTCTTATACAACCATCTCCAAATAGCACAACCGATGCACACAACAAAGAAGGAGACGACCAGAGCTATCACAATATGTAAATATTGAATTGATTTGTCCTGGTTATTCTCTTTGGTTATTGATTTAGTCATATTCTGAAGAAAAACAAAACAGTAGCATTTATTACTAATAACTAAATAGTTACCAAGTACTGATCAGTGTCTTCGGTGATTTCCCTCACGATTTCACTGACCTCAACTTCGGTGATGTGTTTGACGGGCTCTTAGCAATAAATGAAACAGTGTCATTCACAACTAAACATCAGATATTATTAAATTAATTCATTAATTATTATATAACATTGTCAGTATTGATGATTATAGAGAACTCAATTTAGACAATTTTCAAAAGATGACGCTTCCTCAATGAAATTTTTTGATCGGTATATTATAACCATCACATTGATATATGATTCTATATTGGCATTATGAAATGATCACACATTCAACAAGATGAAAAGTTACTATCACGTTCTTGAGCTCTAGTGTTAAACAACGATTAGACCCATTGATTACCATTTTCATGGTAAGAAAGCATCGTATTCTAATCGCATTAGATATCATCGACGTATGCAAAGCACTGATTTAGTCACTGAAAGAAGAATACGAGTCAGTTTTAGTTCGTTGCAATAAAATGTCCTTCCGAATAAATCTGTTTACTCGGGCTGTAGGATGTGATGATAGTGGAAACGACATGTAAAGTTTATCAAGTACTAACCTTATTACGGCAATCATTTATTTTCAAGCTATGAGTATTTTGATCATTACTTTCGATACATGTGTTAGCATTTTCACACCAAATGCATGTCACATTCGATGTTGATGCATTTTGACATGCTCCAGTCGAGTTGTGTTTTGCACATCTTGCTGTGAAAAGAATCGATTGATTGTATTTCAGGTTACCAAAGAAAAACGAAGAGAAATAAAAAAAAAACATGTAACTACAACTCAATGATATGACGATGATTTCTTAAATAAGTGACAAATCCATTCACAGGAAAATTGCTATCACGATTCATGGTGCAATATTCTGTACACTCTCAAATTCATCCACATTTCAAGACAGCATGTTTGAATTGAGTGAAACCATTCAGAAGGTCAAGTATGAACGACGAATTTCGACATGCGAATTTAATGGATCCCAATAACTGTTTACATTCCAACGTATCCACACGATACCCTCAGTGAGCTCAGCAAGGCGTACTAAATTGACTGTTTGGTGGTTGCACAGTTTCATTTCATGATATCAGTATTATGATTGAAATCAGTGCAGGAAAGTCAGTTGTTCCTAAACCGATAATTCATTTAGAATAATGTTAATTCAGTGGAACTACAAAGGAAGGGTGACATTGTTTTTCCAATCATCAATGACAGTTTTCTTGAAAAGATTTCAGTTGACCTGGTATGATCGAAGATATCGTAGTATATGGCCGTATTCTGGTCTGTGTGTTGTCAGTTAATGCATCAGACTAGTTGGATCAATGAAATTTCATCGATGATAAAAGTTGTATTTCTTTCAATGAATATTGAATGGTATCTGATGTTTAGATCATGAAATGATTCTAACAGTTTTCAAAACGTTTTTCAATGGTCCATCACACGGTGAACTGATACATTTTTGTAGTTACTCAGTGTACATATTCATGAGAAAGAACACATTTTCGTACTGTGAAATGAATTCTGAACCTGGTTATGATAGATTGTAATTTTGAAACGTGACTTGCTTGAACACTTAACATACCGAACATGTAAGACAGAGCACAGTTTTCAGAAATGAGGCGACTTGCGTGTTTCAGCAATTCCAATGTCTCACCAAAATTTAATATCACATTAATTTAAAGAAAATCCGAGTCTTCTTCGTCTTAGCACAATCCACTAGCTGACGTCTCATGATTTTGAAACTAATATTACTTTGTATATCGTTTGGTGACTGTGTTTAAGTAGATTTTATCATCTCATAATTCGTTTTGTGACTAAATGTTTGAGTGAAAGGAATATTTTACTGTTAATTCGTGATAAGTTCTTAAACATTCTCATATTCAAAAATGAGTAGACGTGAATTCATTACTAGTAAATGAAACGTCACTCGAGAGTGATGCCTCGAATTCTTATAATAGCTGAATGCATTCAAGTGTGATAATAGTTAATGCATAATAAATAATGTTTAACATACTCCCGATGGCTTCAAACTCCACTAACGTGCCGTTTTTGATCCATTTCAGAGGAACAGATATTTGATGTTCTGTCTTATCTTGTGTGATAAATTGAAGAGAAAGAGACACCAAAAATGTTGATTTCTATTTTAAGTAGAACAAGTGGTATGCATCATATAAGGAGCGATCAAAATAAGAAACTGGAACAGTTCTCATAATGAATACAATGGTGATCATCCAACATTCTCACAGATTGTGGTCTACATCGTTCTTTAATTCGCAAGTGATCAATTTTCAACGGGTAAAATAAAAACGTATTCAGTACAGCATTTGAAAACAATACGATTAAATCATCAAGCAATTTTTCATATTTCGAAGTACAAATAGGTAACACAAAATGTCCAAACCAAAAAGGAATGATGAGTGGCAGTGGAATAGTTGACTCACATTACTTCTTATACAGGACACAGAAGCTTCATATACATGCATCTTACAGTTGATAATCACAATAAAATAGGATTTCGAAACCATTGCATTCTGCATTGAGTTGAGGATCTGATTCATTTCCGTATTGTTTATTGGATCGTCCCATTGATTATTGGGACTGCAATCGATCCCACTCATGTTCACTATCTTTCTTTGCTAACAATGCTTGTGACCCAATGCAACATCAAAACAAACCACACAGAATGCACATATATCAATAAGACACAGATCAATCACAGTTCAAAACACCAATGTGAAGATTCAAACACAGGATATAAAGATGAAAATCATCTTCACTGTTCAATGATTCACTAATACGCTTCAACTGATCAGCATATACCACTTGACCATAGATTTAGTGCAATTTCTGACATCCAATAAAAAATCCTCATACAACCTAATCACTTTCACTCGGAGCTTTCCTCTAAACGCAACTTCATCTTTCAAGGACAAATGATTATTCTATCAAATCATGATGATTAAGCACTTTGTATATGAGTTGTCAGTTCCAAGCACAACACGTTTATTTTTGTTTCACACAAAGCACACTTCTTTATACATTGAGTGGTGATGTCAGTGAGGACCGCAAGTGTGACTGTAGTATTGTGAGTGAGCAAGTGAATAAATCAGTGGATGTATTTTCTGAATAATACCGTCATTCATATATCCCTGTCTCGATCAGTCAATCAGTAACCATATGCGATAGGCGCCATCCATACGTTTGCGAAATAGACATTCATACAACTTAGTTGTTTTACTCGAAACATCTGGTTAAGTGGGTTTCATCATACTTATGATTGATGATATATGTCACCGTATATCAAAATGTTAACAAAACACGTTTAAATATTTTTACTTGTTCCACACTGAAATAAACCGGAGAGTTTCGGTTGCCTCTCACTTTCATTAATTTTCGTAGGAATCTAGAAAAAACGTATTTAAGCCAAAGGTGAGGATCTGTTAACCAATTTATTACCGGATAAATGTGTTATCGATCGATTATATTATTTAAAGACACTCAATTCCACTGATTATCTCAGTTTTTGTAAAAGTATGTTTCATTCAGTCCACATAGATATTTTCAATTACTTCAGTTGTCAATTTCTGTCCTGTGGCTTTATTCATTATTATATTTTTGGCACAATATACGATTCTCAGCACAAAGTATTTAAACAAGTTTCCTTCCCTTATTTTTTCATGTATCCTGACTAAAGCATATTCAGCGATCACCAGTTGAATGTTATCAGTTCAGGAATGCACATTGGAACAATGATCATTTTTTCAGTGCATACTGACATCCGTCAAAATGTCTTTGATTGCACTTATTGTAAGTTGTACGACGAAAAATCGTAAACCCTTCATAAGCGCACTTAAATGGATTATGCGATTGATAGAAAGATGTGCTAAAATAAACAAAAGAGAGGTAACTTGTTGAGATATGTTGTTGTCAGGAGCAGGTAGTTCAGATATTCGAACAGGCGGCCAAACCTCATGGAATATTGTGACACTCTGTGAGATGACTATCTACGTTATTTGGATTGAAATTTGATTGTGAATAACTGCAAGGATGCTGTGTTCAGAATGTTCGACAGTGAACGTTCTGAATAGCCAATCTTCAGTAGATAAAATATAGTTGTTAAGTTTGACTTAGATTGTTCCTACATGTTCCTTTTCTAATCTTTGTATGTTATTTTATACTACTTATTTACATTCGGTAGGCAGCTGTATGCCCAACAATTTTCACACTTATGTTGTAACTCAAGTTGTACTGTAACATTCTGGAATGTTCACCTATATCTTTAACGTTTATTTTACTTAGAATTGTATTTATCATTATAATCACCGTAATTTAATTACTGTAACGATTATCCACAGTTTTGTGCATTTGTTTGAATGCAACAGTTTCCATATTGTTTGCTCTTGGTTCGAGTTTCGGTTGTTCATAAACTGTTACCAAATTTAGACTCAGCTATCGGCTGTCTTTGGACTATCGTATGTTGTAATCATTCTTTATGTTACTCTTACAGGAAGCCTTTGCTATTTTCATTCTTGAACGACGCGTTAAAACGCCTAGACATCTCACAAGTTGAGGTTTGTAACTAAATTTTGTGTATTATTTAATAAAGAACCGCTTTTGTAGACAAATCGTTGTTTTGGGACTTCGATTTTGCGCGTATCTGATTCGGGGTTACTTGGACGTTTCGATAGAATTAACAGTAGTATGACAGAATTCGACTCTTTCCATACAGTGCACTAACATGTACTGTTTGTTACTATTTGGCATGAAGACAACGTTGTTTCTTCTGACAGCATCTCCCTACTAATCGTTTTCTATCTTTCACAAGTGCTTAAAAATAATGTGCCATTGTAAGATTAATAATAGTGTCAAATAGTCCGTCTGCATATTACACAATGACAATCACTTTCTGTCGTGTTCAATGTAAACTGATACATTCGACGGCATTGATTACCATGAAATAGTAGGATAATCTAAATTACTTGAAACAAAATTATTTATCCATTCAATTGTGCAACTCACGTCCTCAAAATAGATAGATATCTTCCCACTCGAATGTATCAGACCAGTTATCTTGCCTGTAACCCCTACAGTTAAAACATCATCGATACTTAGAATTTGAGAGACAATTAATGAGCAGGTTATTGTTAAGTGTGACACAGTGTATGCCTACTCACAAAATGATCAGATTTCACTGTGTGTTTACCGTGTTATCCAAAACGCTCTTTTCATTTGGAGTCTAATTTAATGCATTCGAGTGAACGTCATGTGAATAAAACAAGCATACATCCTTCAAAACGAATGTCAAATGCATTGTTTCCATAGCCGTATTACCAATGCATCATTATTGAAACAAGAAATCGAAAGGATTTCCATCAAGTTCTGCTAGTCGGAGAGGTATTTATATGTACGCGATATTTTCTGTAAAGACACTTGGAACAATTGACTACAAGTAAATACAGCATCAGCTGTGAATTGTTTGTTTTCAAAAGGAAATTGTGCATTTAGTGGGTTGCTCAACATATGGTTATTTCAATTGACCAGCTCATTTTAACCATAGTGTTTATTTATTGTAGATGAGAAACGAATAACTTAGGATGTATCGTCTTCACGATTTATTATTTAGAATGCGTGACATTTAGAAATGACCGTGCGATAAATGGATGTGTGGGTGAGTGTGTTTTGCACTGAAGTGGATTTGTGACGAACACTCAGCACAATTCATCTATTTTGAGATACGAATTTTTCATCGACTTTCATTGAATCCTGTAAAAACAAATGAATCTCTGCATTCGTTTTTCTACAACTGGATTGATATCATGACTTAATCCATCTATGATGATCAATCTATTACTCGTCAAACACAGTCTCTCCCAGTTCCTGTCGACTATCCTTCAAGTGTTAATCAATGTAACCGAATAGGGATTAGATTTCACATAAAAATCTACACTTGTTTCTAAAAACAGAAACAACTTATTACTTTGTCAGTTTCTCAGAAGAATGGAATCTCACAAACTGTGAGTGATTATAATGAGTGAAGATGTACATGCTTAGATTTCATATGTGATCAAACGATCATTCAATGCTGACTTACCAATAACATTATCTTTTTTAGGAAACCATCGGACAGCAAATAATTTATCTGAAATAAAGAAAACCAAAATTGATGTTTTAATATCTGCCTTGTGAATATCCATATTTTTCAATAAATAAACGTTACAATATGAACTGCCTTCACACACAAGTTATCATCTTCGTTTGCTTCGTTTGCGCAAATGCTCATTTCATCGCTTATTAAGACGTTTCAAGGAGTATTATCATTTTATCGATATGATGAGCGTTTCAATCCAATGAACTGAAAAGAATATTTCTCTCCCGTAATTGTTGTTCTATGAGCTTTAAAGTGAGAAAAATACCTTTAATTTACCTATACTACAATAGCCATACAATATCATTTTCAGAAGTTTTGTAATTCATCAGTTATGATAACTGACCAAAATGAATAGATATTACGTCCTAGGTATTTTTTTTGAGTAAATCATCTGTTACTAGCAAACAGTTCGTGGACGTTCGTTGGTCAGTTGTTTCACGGATTGCTTGGATTCAAATTTCATAATCATACGGATATGATTACAAAGATTAGGTCAAAAATTCGGCGATCAAAGAAGAGCAACTCATAGACATTGAAAATTTATGAATCAAGTAACGCTACAAATGTATTGAAGTGTATTAAATATAACTGGATAGTTCATGAGCTTCAATTATCCAAACTCAACCTTCTTAGCTTATTGTTACACATGTGATCGTTTTGGTTCATTAACTCTACCAAGAAATATCGTGTTGGTGGGATATCTTCTAACTTGTAGATTTGATAGACTGTAGAGTAGGTCATATTTACTCTGGCAATAACGTCACTTGATTTATCATTTATACTCAACCAATGTGTGTTTATTTTGCGGTGAAAATCTGTTTTATTTAACTTTTTCTTGACAGTAATCAACACATGTTTTAAACACGCGTTCTATGCAAAAATCACAAAAACAAAGAAACCAATTTGTGCTGGTCAGCTCTAGAGTAATAACCAAATTAAATGCTGAATCGTTCATGCGAAATCAATGTGAAAACAAGAAGCGAAACAAACGATAACTGGATAATTTAAGAACTCACCCTGTTCCAAAACCTCAGATTCAATATGAAAGTCGTTTGATGTAAACATTGAAAAGTTCCCGAGGTTCATTTTCCCGTTCATAGTTATTGCACCTGTATGTGTTTAATGAAAACATGAATAAAAGTGTTTGAAATAAACTACAGGTTTAAATGAATTGCATAAAATGTATTTGGTTCGCTGTAATCGCCATTGACACCATTGACAATTTGATCAAGAAAGTAAATCCAGTGAAGTGTTGTATACCGAAAAATCATAAAACAGAATCATTGAAGAAATCGAACCGAAATATATTCATGAAATGAAATGTAATCAAGAAACTCAGTAGCGATTTTAGCTCAAACAAAAGTATTTACTTACCGTTTGGGAAAACAATGAACTTATAGACGTCGCTATCGTAAAATTTAAATGGGAAGTTTTGTTTTACTTCCTAAAAAGATGCAAAGATATGCATAATTACCTAGACTACAAAATGTAGTCAACTCACTTGATAAAAAGAGTCTTTATTAAAACTGCCATTCACAACTCGACGAGGCTGATTAAGACTAACTCTCATCGAGTAATTATAGTGATGAGACTGAATATGAGAATTAGAATCTAACTGATTACTTACATATTGATATGAACCATTTTCAAAAACCACCTTTTTATAGTCCTTTAACTCAGGTTGTTGACAGATGTCTTGACAGTTGAAGAATCCATAAAGCGAGACAGCGATAAAACAAAGTATTATCGAAAGATCAGAAGAGAAATTGTGTCTAAAAATGTCCAAATAAAGAAAACAACGTTATCTCATTGATTTAAATGTCAATTTGTATAATACCCTCTTTGACTTCGTGTATTCTACTAATACTCACCTCATCTTTTCGTTCAGAGTCTCAAGTCAAATTGTTATAGAAATGGTCATGTTTATATAAACTTTTAAAGTGTTTTTTTGTTTCTTCCTGATTCGATGATTCAAAGTGACCAATAAGAAGATCACATTTGAGAAAATCATATGTTCATTGTAATTCAATCATGATGTTATATGAACTCATCATTATTCAATATTTTCCTAGCTATTGAGAAAATGGGTTGACATTAATCGACCGTTGGTTGACACTTATTGGTGCAAAGTCTCTTCAGTCTGATTAACAGCACTCTAAACTGGGTGATTGGTTAACTAGTATTCCCAAATTCTGTGTTCATGTGTTTTCAAGCGAACAGATTGTTGCCTATGCTAATGTGTTAATTGCCTGTCAACGTTTCATTGTTTGATGTGATTGATTAGAATGAAAGTAGCACAAAATACTTTGACCGAATGTCGAAGTTTGCACTTTAACACTCAAATTTTATTTCAAAAAAATTCGAAAGAACGATTTCATCAATAGTTTAATATGAAACTGCATTTTATGGACAAATCCGTAGCCATTCATTTTATCCACCAAATTATACCACTGACTGTTAAAAAATGTTCAGATAAAATTGATCAGAAGAATGTCTTATTGATGACGTAGCGGTGGAACTAAATGTATTCAGTTATGTAGATTAAAGTCGCCACTGATTGTAATAAAAGAAAGACGATGAATTTCATTGAGTGTAATCTGTAAGAAATTGAGAACAATATCTGGAACGAAACACAGATTTGTAGTTACAGTAGTGATTGTTATATCTGAAAACTAATGAAGTTGATAATACACTAGGAGATGATTGATTTTGATCTTATTATTTCATTGGATTGTTCCCACATTCCATTTAAGCCGCTAATAATTGTCATTAATGTTAAAATATACGTGTGAATTACTGTGATAAGATAATGTCAAGGGCATATTGTATTCACACTTAACATAGACGATTGATGAGTGAATCAAAATCGACACTTTAGTAAATGAATAATAATTTCAGCGAAACAAGTCAGGAATATTTGTTTTTGGGTGATATTTGCGAATAGTAATTCTGAATACAAATCAAGTTTATTGTTTCTCATTGAAAAGTTGTTGACAGTAATGAGAATGTTGTGTCCTCGAGTATCACAGTGTATAGTCAATTAAAACACTGTTGCGTAATTCCGAATTCATCAACATCAAAATGCATCTCTACCATACACTGCAGATTAGTTAATTCATATTCTGAAAAAATAATAATTACAGAATTCACGCTGTTGATCAGTATCCACTTATGAGAAGGAAACCTATTTGTGCACATAATAGTGTAAATCAGTGATTGTGCTCACGAACAGTATGAATCAGATTATAATGTATTCGATAAAGTAATTCCTTGTAGCTACTTGTGGATCTTGAATATTGTTAGTAGCAAATGTGTTGTCAGTACGCAGAATGATGTATGACATAAAGAATCTACATAAACTTTTACAATTTAATTATTCTGGCATATAACCCAACGTACTATACTTTTCTCTATTATCCTATGACGGACATTTGAAAAAAGACTTTGTTGTATTGCAAAGAGTTCTGAAGAAATTTAGCATGGTGTGTGATGAATCGCTTCAGATCATTATCAATATGGTTGTCGTTAGACATATAATGTCTTCCTAAAGACGGACATGTGTTACCTCATTAGACATTAGAATCCATGTATGCAAACAAAGGTAAACAATGCTCTGCAATACCTTACAATGGAAGATATATTCTGTTGCAAACCGGTTGTTTGAGTTGATATTTTCAATACCATGTATTGTCACACACATTTTTAATTGGAATGTCACATAGATTCTTAGTCATCTCAATATATCATCTCATTCAATTCCAGGTTATATTTTCTATTCAACTTATATATGTTGTTATCAGTTTCCTTAACTCATCTTCCATTTTTTGTAAAAGAAACTTATTGAAATATTTTGTGTTGAAAATCCAACATTTTACCAAACACATACTATTGAATAAGATCATTATTCGTGAAAATGAATCATCATCTTAACTTTTCAATATTACTTACTTACGCCTGTTACTCCCCCAATGGAGCATAGGCTGCCGACCAGTATTCTCAAACCCACTCTGTCCTGGACCTTTTTTTCTAGTTCCATCCAATTCTTGTTCATTTTTCTCATGTCTATTTCCGTTTCCCGGCGTAATGTGTCCTTTTGTCTTAGTCTCCTTTTTTGGCCTTGAGGATTCCATGTGACCGCTCGTCTTGTGACGCGGTTGGGTGCTTTCCTCAATGTGTGTCTTATCCACTTCCAGCGCTTCTTCCTGATTTCTTTCTCCGCTCGGATCTGGTTTGTTCTCGTCCACAGTAGGTTGCTGCTAATAGTGTCCGGCCAACGGATATGAAGTATTTTGCGTAGACAACTGTTAATAAACACCTGTATTTTCTGGATGCCCCCGAATGCCCTGGTACGGACGAGAGTGGAGAGAGTTCGCTTTCCCTCTCGAAATACTCTCACACGTCCGCACACGTACAGCCTCTGCCAGGGAAGTTCTACTCATTGCCTTCTCGTGACGGGGTGTTGTTTACGAAAATGAGAGGACGAAAAGCGAAAGTCCGGCGCTTTAACCGGATCAAAAACCAATGGCGTATGAACCAATCTTTGGTTACCGGCTACCATGGGACTGCATCTCCTTACGATGCTCCACTGCCTTGTGGGCTAGACCTTTAGGTCAAAGGCTCGGGATGTGGCCCCCTAAGAAAACCACCGGCTTCGGTTTGGGCACCCGGGCAGTACCACAGCCCACACTGTGTCTATGGCAACTACTTTTCTCGCTTCGGAAAACAATCAGTTGATTCAAATAATTATCATTACTATTATTGTCATTATTATTATTATTATTATTATTATTATTATTATCTTCCTCATTATTCACCCTCTTTTATACTTATACAGCGGCTCGTCTTTGGTGGAAACCCGACTGTATCTAAACGTTCTCGAGTCACTGTCCGGTTGAAAATTGCATGTTACCACCGATTACGAGAACTGAAGCAGTTTTTCTGAAACCACGTGCACCATTCAAACTGGCTGCCTTCAACGTTCGCACACTTATGCAGGTCGGACAACAGATAGGGCTGGCTATGTCTTTGGAAAGTCTTAATATTGATGTTTGTTGTCTATCCGAGACCCGTATTCAAGACTCTGGCGAAGTACTACAAATTCGATCTCCATCTGCCGCTTCGAAAAGCTTGTTTCACGTGCGCTTATCCGAGGATCCTGTGGCATTTTCGTCTGGTCTTGTTGGCGTTGGTGTCGCACTAAGCGCTAGAGCTGAGGCAGCACTAGTTGATTGGATCCCCATTAACAGTCGGCTATGTGCTGTTAGATTAGAAAGTTCCATCAAAGTGAGGAGAAATCGGCGTGAGAAACGATGTCTTTTCGTCATCTCCGCCTATGCCCCGAGAGATTGCAGCCCGGATGCAATCAAGGAAGAATTTTACCACCAGTTATCTGTTCTCCTTCAGAAAGTGCGTTCAACAGATATTGTAGTATTAGCCGGAGACTTGAATGCTCAGGTCGGGTGTCTATGCACAAAAGAGAGTCTCTTAGGTGGCCGATGAAGACTTGTTGGTCGCACGACAGATAACGGGGACAGTCTACTGCAACTATACACAGACCACAAAATGTGTCTGGCTAGCACTAACTTTCGGCAAAGTTATCGCCAATGTGCAACCTGACGTCCTCCTTCTGCATGCCAAGCCTGGACTCAGATTGATCACATCGCGATCAGCTACCGCTGGCGTGGTTGTGTACAAGACTGGCGCTCCTTTTGGAGTACCTATCTGGACTCTGGCCATGCCTTGGTCTGCGCCAATCTTGCCTTACTTTTCAATGAACAACGAAGTAACCGCCATCAAAAGAATTGATATTAGCAAGCTGGTTGCAACTTCAGTTGCTAGTAAGTATCGAACCAAGCTAGCCTCTAGGCTAGCTACCACTCCACCGAAAAATATAGATGAGCATTGGTTGCAATTGCATGACGCCATGAAAATGGCGGATACAGTCAGTTGTGGGTCTGCAAAATGTCCCGCTTATAAGCACTGGGTTTCTGTAGGTTCCTCACAACTCATTGAAGCCCGTCGGTCTACTCCGGGTGACCGTGAATTTGACCACAAACGAAGGATGTTACGTAATGAAATCGGGCAAAGCTTGCGTAAGGACCGAGAAGCCTGGTGTGTCGGAGCGTGCTAATGAGCTGGAATTAGCAGCTGCATCTGATAATTACCAGAAGTTCTTCTAACTCATCCGAGCCACTGGCAGCAAGAAGTCTGGTGTGAGCAAAACAATCTGTGAGGATGATGGGATGCCAATCACTAACATCCATCGACGTCTTGGACGATGGGCAGAATTTTTCGAAGGGCAGTTCAACTGGCCTGCTGCTCAGGCAACATCGGTCAGACTGTCCTGCCCTCCATGGCCGGTGACGACTGATCCACCAAACGAGGAGGAAGTCCGCAAGGAACTCCAACTCTTGAAGTGTTACAAATCACCTGGCCCAGATGACTTGCCTCCGGCTCTTCTAAAAGATGATGGTGACTATTTGACTTATGAAGTCACGAAGTTGTTTACAAAGGTGTGGGAGCTAGAGAGTGTATCAACGTCATGGAAGGAGTCGATAGTTGTCCTTATCTTTAAAAAGGGTTCAAGTCGTTCCTGTAACAACTATCTGGGCATAAGTCTACTTCCGATCGCATCCAAGCTATTGGCTTCCGTGTGCCTGGGAAGTTTATTAACATCCCACAGGCCCTATATAAAAACACATCAAGCAGGGTGAGGGCATACAACCACCTCTCTCCATTGTTCCATTCGAGCAGTGAGGTTAGGCAGGGTTGCCTTATCTCACCATTCCTCTTCAACTTTGCCATCGACGACATTCTGGAAACAGCTCTGATGGATGTAAGTAATGGTGGTGTGGATCTGTTGCCTGGAGAAAGACTTCTCGGC